TCTTCTTACTTCTTTATGACAACAGCCTTAGAAAACCGACCATGTTCTTATACAATGGTCAACGCTGCCTTAGTGCTCAAAAATACCTTAGCCTCATGAACTGGGGTGGGGGAACAATTGAAAATTCAGGATAGATTTGAGGCTAAAAATGTGTTTTTATATTCTTTCAGATTATGTAGAAGATTTTATGACAATAGTTCAATGGTCAAGAGTGAATGTTTCCCTTCATCTAAACATTCTATATTTCTAAAATGTTCTTTAAGTATCATATTGATGATTTTTAATTCAAAATTTTATAATTTTAAGACAGCTTCACCAAAATTTAAGTTTTATACCATCTTTTTCTGAACACTTCTATTTTACAAAGTCGTTAGACTAAACTACACATCACATTTCTTGCTTCATTATTCTTGCCAGGAAATTATGCAGATATCCTTATCTTTCTTACCTCTAAGGTGCTAATGACAATCTCTGGGGCATATTCTGGCCTCCTTATTAAGCGAGAAAGAGTAAACCAGTGGAGTATAAATACTACCATAAAACATACAGACATAGACTGAATTATAAGGGTAGAAATCTCTATTATTTTTTAAAGAGGCAACTGATATTTAGTAATTTCATGTTTTGTATAAAGTCTAATGGCTAGGTAATGGTAAAGGGGGGCATGCTTTTCACTGTCTCATGCTACCTCATCCATCCAACCATCTATCTACACATGTAACCATCCATTCATTCAACTGTTTATTAAGTATTCATACATTCAATATCTCTTATTTAGCAACTTCTAAATGTCAATTTCTTACTGGGTCTTATACTCATTAATTTACAGTTTAATGGGAAAGAATTACTTTCCCATTAGAGGTAAAAACTGTAAGTTGCGATAGAGTGATAATCACAAGTTGCTATAGAGGGTTACCTAGATCAGACTACTTAAGAATAATTAGAAGTTAATGTCTCTTTCACATAGCATTATATACACATTATTAGCACACATTATTTCTTGGCTTTTTGTTGAATGACAGGATGCTTTTACTGAAAAAAAAAAAAAAAAAAAAAGGCCTGAAGGTAAATAAGATGACTTACTATTTGAAATAATTATACAATCTTTAAATATATTTAGGGATGGAGTGTAAGTATGAAAGAGTAAAAAATGATGATCTATTCTCAGTATCAATAAAGTTTTAAAATAAAGAATTATGGATACAAGATTTGATATATAATTCATTCATTCATTTGCCAGTTATTTAAATTTCCCTTCTTACAGTTTGCCTAGAGGAAGAGGTTTTGAAAGCTTATCTGACAGAAAAAAAAATGTATAACATAAAAGAAACCTTCTTGTTAATCACTCTCAATGATTCATTAAAGGTTGAAAATAAATTACAAATTGAATATGACAATTATCTTAACGAGAGTCATTTTTAAAACATTCAGTAATGCCAAGGGGAATTTTTTGTTGTTGTTCAGTATGAATTCTGTAGTAATTACTTTTTATACTTAATGTTTTGGGTGCAAGGAGAGAATATGTACTTTTTCACACCAAAAAGTGTACGTTAATGCATAAAACAGGTATGTTTTTAAAGTGCCAAGTATTCTTACTAGAGTAATGCATTTAGAAGTATGAATGTTTGCTATCAAATTGTTATTATTATTGTAATTATTATGACACATTAACTCCTCATGAACTACACTGTAAACTAGAAATGTGCCACGTACTTGACACTTGTTCACTCACTTAATCTTCATAATAACCCTCTGAAGTATATTCTATTATTATCTCATTTAAAGATATGGAAAATAAGGCACAAACATGTTTAGAAATGCATTCACTGGCTTAAAGCTCAGATCTGCCTGACTTCAGAGGCATGATTCAACATACTCAAGGCTGTTCCAATTACTTAGCATTTATCCAAATGCCACATAAGTCCAGGCTGTCTCTCCTAACTCATTTGTGGGTTCAGGATGATATGGAGCAGTTAACTCCCAGGAAGAGTGAGATAACTAATTGTAATTTTAAAAATGTATAATGCTCTTGAAGCTGACAGATGGGTACTAGGAAAATGCAAGGTAGTAGTCTTGTTGCATTGGTTGTAAATATGTGCTCTGATCATAAAAAAGAAAGGGAAGAAATCAATTGCTGTTCTTCATCGCTCCTTATGGGTAATACTAGCACAGAGCTGTGAGAATTGAATTCATAGTCTTTGCATGAAAGCCCACATTTGACCTTTCACTGTTATGTGTAAGAGATTGCTTTAAGAATTCTAATATTCTCTAATTCGTTCTAT